ATTGCCTGTGATCTATAACATTTTTAAAGATCACCAAATCGTTTTTGATAATTGCTGTTATTAAAGAAGACTTCGACATATAGCAAAGTAGATGGCTGACTCTGTTGCAATGGATATTGAGTCTATAACAAATGCAGAGAAAGTATTTGCACCTACATCGATAATTGTGCAGCGACCAACAGAAACCACTTCAACAAATGCTGCGAGACCGCCAGAAATCACATTAAGAAAGTCGGAGAAACCACATGTACCCATGTCAATAAATATGCAGCGAGCATCAGAAACCACTTCAGAGAGACCACCTGCCCTGACATCGTTAAAGCCAGACAAACGATCTCTTCCCACGTCAACAAAGCCTGCGAAACCACCCACACCCACATCAACAAAGCCAGAGAAACCACCAACACCCAGATCAACAAAGCCAGAGAAACCACCAACACCCAGATCAACAAAGCCTGAGAAACCACCCCCACCCACATCAATAAAGCCAGAGAAACCACCCCCACCCACATCAACAAAGCCAGAGAAACCAGCTGCAGCCACATCAACAAAGCCAGAGAGACCATCTGCACCTGCAGCAACAAAGCCAGAAAGACCATCTGCACCCACATCAACAAAGCCAGAGAGACCATCTGCACCTGCAGCAACAAAGCCAGAGAAACCAGCTGCAGCCACATCAACAAAGCCAGAGAGACCATCTGCACCCACATCAACCAAACCAGAGAGACCATCTGCACCCACATCAACAAAGCCAGAGACCATCTGCACCCACATCAACAAAGCTAGAGAAACCATCTGCACCCACATCAACAAAGTGGTATTACAATTTTTAAAATTAAAGTATATGTTGTAAAAGTTTGTAACTGACTTCTTACAGCTTACAACTTGTCCTCAAACATACGAAAATTTTGAAAATACCTCGAGCGGCAGTTTAAGCATAATTCCTGGGCGTAATTCGGCCAACTATATATTGTTATGAATGTTCCTGGGCTTAATTCGGCCAACTATATATTTTTATGAATGTTCCTGGGCTTAATTTGGCAAATTTATTTTTTTTGAATGTAATGAACAAAACGTTTTTTGTGAAGTAAAATTTCTAATATGTGTCAAGAAGCAGTTTTCAAGCATGTTCTTATTGTAAAAGGATCAGGAAAAAAATATAATTTTAATCAGTTGAGCTTCTCGCTGTCTTGTTGAGTAGAAAAGCATCTATTGCATTGAAGACTGCGTTGTGGGGTAAGTGAATGCTCTGGAATTATCCCCTAAAGCCCCGATTAAACGAGGACTCCGGTTGTTGAGAGTTGTCTTTGAACTGGTTGAAATTTTGATGGGAGTTTTCTCTACGCGGTGATATCCAGTCAACTTTCATGCAAACTCTCTCTTCTCAACTCTCACTCTCGTTTGACCAGAACTTAAATTTGCACACCTGAATAATATAACTATGTTGCTATCTACTGGCACAGTTGACACAACTACACGCTTCACTAAATATCAGATAAGACTGCACACTTTTGTCTTGTGCGCTCGAGATCTCGTCGAAAACTCCCATTATGACACTCTGAAGTCCGATATATTACTGCGTTTTGTGCAAATACAGCAACAATTTAAATTTCGCAACATTCCGTAAATCTAGCGAAAAATGCATAATTTGTTGAGGCGGTTACAGACGGCCAAGTTTTCTATGACAAGTTTCTATATGGCAAGTTTGATTTGCGAAGTGCACTTGTGTATGTGCAATAAATTTTCTATGACAAGTTTCGATATGGCAAGTTTGATTTGCGAAGTGCACTGTGTATGTGCAACAAATTTCTTATGACAAGTTTTTATGTGGCAAGTTTTATTTGCGAAGTGCAATTGTGTAACAAGTTTTTATATGGCAAGTTTTATTTGTCAAGTGCAATTGTCTATGTGCAACAAATTTTCTATGACAAGTTTTTGGCTTTCTGACCGCTGTAATAGCTATTATTATCTATTACAACAATATAGGGTGTCCCAAAAAATCCCCCTTTAGAAATCAATCTTGCGTGTTATTATTATATTACACCTTTGGGAATTTACTTTAATTTACATGAACGGCGGAAGTATTAAAGCAAATTTATATATAACAATATATAAATTCAAGTTAATGAGACAACACGTTTGTCACCTTCAAACCTGGTTATAATCTCATAGTAACATGATAAGCTTGTCAACAGCCACAAAAAGGCGATATCCAATAGTCCAAAGTTCAAATGTTTCTCTGGGCATGTGTAAACCGAATGAAAGATCAACTGACCAATCATATGTCAACAACGAACACGCAGAACAAAGGTCAATGTGATAAGGGAGTTCACTTTGACAAATATCCCAACAAAGAGCAATGTCTTGTTACCGAGAAAGAAAATTTGAAAATTTGACTTGGTGCGGGGCTGCAAAGAATTACGGACATCGAATGAACTGAGACAATGTGACAGAAAAGAGTTTATGAACGCTGGAATTGACATATCATGGTTATATTAAAGAAAATTTGGTCAGTAACTCAGTATGATAATTCAGTGAGACGCAGTTTATTCAAATAGAACTCTACCGGACAAGCGCTTTTACTCTTCTGGTGGACAAAGGAATACGTTGGCCCAAGTCCCGACGAAGTTATTACCATTAAATGAAACCGCCACTGGGGGAATAACAACAAGATCGATAGGCTAAAGCCGCTAAACACGAAATCAACAAGCGTTCAATTGATATCATTCCATGTCTCAATGCACATGCTTCCTAAAGTGAAGCGGTATTCGGCGCGTAAGTATGCGGTGCATTGACACGTTTGTTTCGTATTCCGCATCTCAAACCAACCAAAATGTATTAAAATTCGTCTATTTTATAACAACATTCTGGTGTATTTATATTTGTCGATAAAAAATTCCAATGACAATTTTATTACTACCTTGAGGTTAGCCGCAGTTTAAGGCTTCAGATTACGCCTCAGATTTGGCGTTGGATTGGGTTTCAATCAGGCCTTACATTAAACTGTATTCAATCGCTCAAAAGTAGAATTATAAAACTTCTTTTTTAGCTATTTCACAAAATTAATTTGACCTGCATACATTTTCAATACTTTACTGTTCAAAACTTAAGAAAGCAAGCTCATTTGTGAACGAAATTTGAGACTTAAAACTCTGCACATGATATACGTTTAGGTACATTTGCGATAAATCGGCAAGATGGATATCAGGAAAGATTGGTACGATACCATGTATGCCTACGCTTATGAAAATTGAAAATCCTTTAATGTACTATTATTTACTGCATATAATCTATTTTGACTACCAAATACATATTCTTACAATTTCTTTCTGCTAATATCATGCATGCATGACTGATGATTGGATGTTCGATCGCAAAATTTTGGTCTTGCTATTTTGAATTAAAGTAATGAATAAGCTATTTTTCTGAGAGTAATGTCACATAATTCGAGAAAGTTCCACCGATCATAATTGAAATAAAATAAGTGTGGTTAACAAATAAATGTTGTGCAAAACGTATTCATGAACTGAGACAATGTGACAGAAAAGAGTTTATGAACGCTGGAATTGACATATCATGGTATATATTAAAAATAAAAAAAAAATAAAAAATAAATAAATAAAAATAAATAAAATGTGCCTCGATAGTGAGCTTTGTTTGTCGTGTTACCAACCCTCCAATTAAAAAATTGTAAGATAGAAGCTTTGTGGGGAAGCTGCTGGTTGTCTTGGCCCCATCCAGGTTTCCTGTATATTCCAGGTTTTTTCTGGCCTCCCTGACTATCCAGCTATAGTATGAGTGATAGTAACGCCCAAATATATGTCTAACTATCATCTGGCAGCAGCTGTCTTGTATACGAATACAGCTGTGGTGGGAGTTCGTCTATGGGGAATACACATGCTGTGTATTTGTGGGGTTGAAGTGTTCCCAATGGTCAACTTCAGGCCCATCGACTCAGTTATTTATGTAAATATAATCAGTCGAATCGTAGGGACTGTCCAAGGGGATTATGACCTCTTGGTTCAGGTTGATGTTAGAGGGGCTCGCTACCCTTCTGGCAGGCTCTATTTGGGGATTATGACCCCTAGGGCATTCAGTCTCTCCTAGCAGGTCTTATATATACCCTGCGGGATGAAAACATAAGGCTTAATGAGTCTTTGGGTTGACCAGAGTTTGAGAGTATAATGTATATAATTGGTTCACTTCACCCTGAACCCATTCTCCCACAATGATTTGGCGTGTGGTTTACTTATTCTCCGGCTGTTTTTTCACCTAACGTGCTTGAATCATTAAAGCAAATTTATATATAACAATCAGTATAAATTCAAGTTAATGAGACAACACGTTTGTCACCTTCAAACCTGGTTATAATCTCATAGTAACAGGATAAGCTTGTCAACAGCCACAAAAAGGCGATATCCAATAGTCCAAAGTTCAAGTGTTTCTCTGGGCACGTGTAAACCGAATGAAAGATCATCTGACCAATCATATGTCAACAACGAACACGCAGAACAAAGGTCAATGTGATAAGGGAGTTCACTTTGACAAATATCCCAACAAAGAGCAATGTCTTGTTACCGGGAAGGAAATTTCCACCCACCAACCCGTTCCTGGTATCTGGTGCATTGTATGGGTACTAACTAATGTTATGCAAGGACTATTCAAGAACAATTTGTCAAGAAAGACTATCGAACAATTTTCTCATGGAAAATTATCGCTATGTAAATAGTTAAATTGGTTTATGTTGAAACAAATAAACTTTGGTTCGGGGTTGAAGTGTTCCCAATGGTCAACTTCAGGCCCATAGACTCATTTATGTAAATATAATCAGTCGAATCGTAGGGACTGTCCAAGGGGATTATGACCCCCTTGGTTCAGGTTGATGTTAGAGGGGCTCGCTACCCTTCTGGCAGGGCTCTATTTGGGGATTATGACCCCTAGGGCATTCAGTCTCTCCTAGCAGGTCTTATATATACCCCTGCGGGATGAAAACATAAGGCTTAATGAGTCTTTGGGTTGACCAGAGTTTGAGAGTATAATGTATATAATTGGTTCACTTCACCCTGAACCCATTCTCCCACAATGATTTGGTGTGTGTTTTACTTATTTTCGGGCTGTTCTTTCACCTAACGTGCTTGAATTATTAACGCTTCGGTTACACTTTGCGTTAAATCACAGTTAATAGAATACATGGGTTGGAGACTCGATGAAAGTACAATATAACTCATTAACTATGTTGGTTTCGGTTTATGCAAGAATTTGGGCCTATCTCGTCACGTGTGTATAGTATTTTTTTTCCGCACAACCAATAGT